TTCCCTAATGATCATATGCTTACCAAACATACTCACCTAGGTTCCTTAGTAGCCCCTTTATAATAAGGGTACCCTTTTTCCTACTATTCTGTTTTAATAAGGAGACCCCCCAAGCAATAAGGGCAAAAGGGTACCTTGCAGGAACCTAGCCACTTACAAACCGACCATCCTCACCCCGGTACTTAGGCAATTATTACTTACTTACCCAATAGGCCACAGAAATGAAAGGTTAAACTTTCCGATTCCTACTAAACTATAAGAGCCCAAAACGTCTAAAGGTGCAGTATTGGGCCATAAAGGTGGTTTTCAACTGCGCATCATGCCCGGCGAACCCCGGCGAGCTCTTTTTCTTCTCGTTCGCACGACGGAGCCAAGCGTCATGATGACTAAAAGCAGAGGGCTACCTAGAGGCCTAATTGCCTACCTTGGCTAAGTATGTAAGAACCAGCTGGCTGCCAGTGGGGTGCTATACACGTGTGCATGTGTGCAGATGCACATATGTTGTACACATATGTACATGCATATGTGTGTGTATATATATGCACATGTATATATATATATATATATATATACTGTAAGCATATGTAGGCATGGATATAGATATAGATATAGACGTAAATACAGTTATAGATATTCATATATGGGTGTTCTGCTTTTTCCCTGCGCTCCTGGCACGGCGGAAAGTCGGAAACAAATGGCCACCATGTGCATTTCGATATTAAACATACATACATACATACATACATACATACATGCATACCTACATCCAGGCAGGCAGGCAGGCAAGCAAACATGCACCATCTTTTCATTAATGAATACATATGCATGCGTACATGCATGCATGCATGCATACATACATACATACATACATACATATGAAATGTACATACGTATTTAATGTACAGTCCCCAATGTGATAGTGTAATATGGTCGCCGTTATGTGGGTGTGTGGGCCTCATGGGATCGCCACAACCCTGAGCCCTATCAACCCATGTTTGGCAAAGGTTCCCCCCCCCTAACTCAAAGGGGGAGGGGTTGCAGGCGGCCTTAGGGCCCATCATAAGGACCTGATAAGCCCAATTTCAGGAAGTATAGTCCTCCAACCCCTTTTCCCCCCAACCCCCTAAGGGTCCCTATCACTAACTGTCGGAACCGAGCCGGGGGAAAGGCCAGTCCCACCCCCAAAATTTCTCTTTTTCTGTTTCAAACTCTTGGGTTTAGTTTCCAAAACCCTTCAGCACATAGACTTCAGAGTGCTAGGTGCTGCTAGGTGCCCAAGTCACCCCTTGACAAAAAGGTCGGCCACTTAACAATAACGGCACCTGTTTCGGTATTGCTCAACTCTGAAAGACAGAACCCGGAATGAACAGTGCGAAGGGACACATGTGGGGGACGGCGTGGAGTTGGTTGACCAAGCAGTAGCAGGAACTATGTTGAGAGCAGAGGTATAACACATAAGGCCTCACGCAATAATTTATGTGAGTGGTTGTCAAAATCATGATCTTTTTTGGATCCCTAATATAGTACGGCACCTAATATTTAGGGTCCCAAAAAGGGGACCAGACTTTTGACAACTACCTATGTGAGCCCTAAACTCCCCCAACAAAATTGGCCCGTAAGGCCTCAAGATAACCCGGATAACCAGGGCACACAAACTGCTGTGGAAGCCTGAAGCACCACTATAAACCCCATAAGCCCTAGACCCTAAACCCTAAGCTTAGGTACCCAATAAGCCACAGAAATGAGAGGTGAAACTGTCCGACTCCTACAAAACTAGAAGCCCAGAAAGCTTAAAGGTTGGGTATTGGGGATCTACGTAAACCTACTTGTCGGGTATCGTGGGGAACTAAAGGTTAACCTTTTGGGTTATATAGGGATGATATAGGGACTATACTACCCACAAAAGGTTAAAGGTTACCGACTCGACTACTAGGGTAAACCCTAAGTGGGGAGTCAAGGTTGACAAAGCCTCACGATTTTGGCGCGGCGAGCCTGGCGCTGATCCGTTGCTCTGAAAGTTGAGGTAAGCGTCAGTTTGGGTTTAGGGTTTAGGGGTTTGGAAGATCGGGCTTAGGGTTTAGGCTTCGGGTGTCATTTAGGGTATGGGGTTTAGGATTTTAGGTCTTCAAAGGTTCCATAGTACTGGTTCCTGCCTGCTTTCAGGATGCCTCTTACGCTTCTAGAAAGGCGACCGTTCGTCAAACTTCGGAAGGATCCTTAGCGCTTCAATGGTTTCGTTGCCATCTGAAGGTTCAGAGTTCGAAAGGTTTAGGGTACAGGGTATAGGGATTAAGGGTTAAAGGTTTAGGCATGCCTGTTGATAACATCACAACGCATTGGAATTACGAAGTAGTTTGGCATTCGTTCTTTTTGGCGTTCGATGGTGCAAGGACTCGCATTGTGCACTTAGTTTCGGGCCTCCTTAGTGTTAGCATGCCTACTTGTCGGCTATCATGGGGAACCAGAGGTTAACCTTCTTGGTCATATAGGGATTATACAGGGACTATACTACCCAAAAAAGGTTACAGGTTACCTACTCTACTACTAGGGATGCATGTTCGGTCGTGCGCCGTCAGACTTTGAATTGGGGTAAATAGTCTGCTACACCTGAAGCCACCGACCCTGCTCCAACATCTCGCAATTCTAGACATTCTGGTGCAACTGCAGGTATATAGGGTTTAGCGTCTTCGTTAGCATCTCTTTGCTGACCTGCCTAAGGTCATGCCGAAGACTCTTCTCCCCAAAACCTGGCCTTGAAAAAGAAATGGGGTCAGGTTAGGGTTTAGGGTTTAGGGTTTAGGGTTTAGGGTCAGGGATCATCGAGACTAAGGAATTACGGAGTAGGGATTTAGGGTTTGCGCCCAAGGGATTATGGGTAATTACCCTAAACCCTAGACCCCTAAACCCCAAGCCCTTAGAGGTGTTTCTACACCCAGACCTCACACCCAGGAGCCCGAGCCTCAATTAGACCATCTGCCTACAGCCGACAGCCTAAAACCACAAATCATGATCCCGCCGCGGTGCTTCCCGGCCTTCAAAGGATAAACAGATGCATTCTCAGCAAATTCCACCACCTGGGACTGAGCAGTGCGATTGTCAAATATGCTCTTCTCTTCCTTCCGTGTCTGCCTCTGTTTGTGTTGTCCGTTTGTTTATATTTGTGTCGACTGCTTTTGGTGTGTGTGTGTGTGTGTCTACTGACTACGTGGCCTATCATAGGGTCCGCATCACGAGGGTGCCTGGCGGGACCAGGTAGCTGAGCGTACATGGGACTTAGTAACTAGGGTTATAATTCGGATAACTATACTTATAATTACTTATAACCCCAATTAGGGTACTTATAACCCTACTTACTAAGTCCCATGATCCTCCAAGTAGACCCCAAACCCAAATCCGGAAACCTCAAAGACCAAGGTGGGTAAGGTTGATGGCGAAGCCCTCCACCCTGACTCTTCGCCCCAAATCTCAAAAAGGGTTTAGGGTCTAGGGTTTAGAGTTTAGGGTTTAGGGCTCTCAACCACCGAACCCAATGGCTGTTCAGATTGAGACCCTGGCCCATGATGTACCCTCGTCGCTGGTCTTTCCTCAGATATGGAAGCAAAGCGACATTCGGGCTCAGGTAGTACGTGCAACAGGGCCACTACTTAGAGGGGTTGCTAGGTCGATTGGTGTTAAATGATGACGGTTGTGATGATGATGGTGATGGTGACAGTGAGTGAGGGTGCCGGTGGTGGTGATGATGATTATGCTTTTTCGGCTACGGTTGCGATGATGGTGATAGAGATGGCGATGGTGATGATTTTGATGATGATGATGATGATGACGATGAAAATGAACAGGAAGACTTCTACAAGTGCTGCTACTCCTCCCGCTGCTTTGTTTTTAAGGACGACTCTGTCCGAGTCCCACGACACAGAAGAGCGGAACAAAACAACCACCACCAACTCCCAAGCTCAGGACTGCGAAATTCGTAAATCCCACGCTGCGGCTGAACAAGGGTGAAGTTTGATGAGGGATGTGACACGTCTAAATTACAAAGTTCGCCCTTTCACAATAAGGCTGCCCCTTTTCCCACTGTGTGGCTTCAATCAGGAACCCAACCAAGCAAAAACATGGCAAAGGGCATTACTGGAGAACCCAAATTACATCTATTCCAGAGGAGCCCTAAACCCCCATAAACCTTAATCCCCAACCGCCCTAACCCCAACTCCTATCCTGTTGGTACGAGAAGCTTCCTGTCGCGACTCCTTGATCGTGACGACTTCTCCCGAACGGGACGCATCCTCTGAGGCAGATATCGGAGCTGCCGGTTAGTAGCTGGTTATTTTCGGGACTTATAAGTACCATAACCCCAATTGGGGTCCCTTGTAGGGTACGTATAACTCTACTGATTATCTACTTACTAAGTCCCCCGACCCTTCAAGTCAGGGGTTAGACAGGGTACTCTAAGTTCCTCTAAAGGGCTCTAGAAGGGCTTAGGGATTCCGAAAATTAGGGGGTACCTCATTTTTGGGGGTCCTTTTTAACAAGGAGCCTTCCTTTTGTGGAAATCACTATATTAGGCCCCCCCCCCTATTTTCGGAAACTTCCATGGGGCTTAGGGTGGGTCTTTTCGGTGACATGGCCGATACATGAAAGTAACGGGGGTGGCTCCTATCCTCGTGTCCCCAAAGAGTTTAGGGTTTGTATCCTTGCGTCCTGAAGCTAAGCTGAGAAACATTGGGTTTGCTTATGGCAGGGTTGAGGATTTAGGGTGTCCCCAACGATGCTGCTAAGCTGAGAAGCATAGCCAAAGCCTCATACAAGAGTAGCTCCAGAAGGTGGGCTTCAACTGACCCCACGGCAAATCAACCCCGGACGATGGTAATATAGGAACCTGATTAATTAAGAAGCTATCAGGATTTTTCCACGAGTAGCTAGTATATTGGGGCTGTAGGACCAGGGCTTCTTCCTAATTAGGTTCCTACATTACCTGCGGACGCAAGCAGCAACTCGACATTTTAGCTCTGGCCGATGATGGGCGGGTGAAACCTCTCCCCCACACCGCCGGCTTTAAGCATCTCATTGTATCCCTGTCCTCCCAGGGCCAACTCTGCTTGCTCCTTCCCGGAAATCGGCAAATCCTTGTGCTCCAAGAGCCCAACCTGCCGAAGCACTGAGGCCTGATCCCAGTAGATGCGCTCGGAAGTGAGTTTCCAGCGGCCCTCCTCCTTCTTCTGTTCTTCTTAAGGAACCCAGAAGGAGGAAACCATATGGTGTCTTAAACCAAATACCCTAAACTTTGTTTACTACAGATCCCCATCATGGCAACTTGAAACTAAACTCCTTAACCCCAAGTACCCAATTATCGTATACTCTCCCGAAATATTAACCTGCACAACTACTAGCCAAAACCCAAGTACCTACTTGTTCTGTCTTTTGGAGCCTTAGCCCAGACCCCGGGAGGATCCAAAAAGTAGATCCCTTAATGGGGTTTCCTATAAAGGGCCCTTTGTAGTCTAGGGCCCCGAATTAGGGGATCTACTTTCTAGATCCTCCCGGGGGTCTGGGAGGGTGACAAGAGCCCAGCCTTGCCGAAGGAGACGCTGGCCACTAGAGGGATACGAATGGGAAGGTGCGTCGGGGGTACCCCAGGCAGCATCCAGTCCACTTCGGAGGTGTGGTTCAAACATACCACCATTTCCTGAGTCTAGTTGGGGTTTGGGGTTTAGGGTTTAGGGGTTTAGGGTTAAGGGGTTAGAGTTGGGTTTCGAGATATCACCATTTGCTGAGTCTAACAAAGGTTTAGGGTTTAGGGTGGTTCAGTTGTTTAACGAATTGACTCTACATAAGCTGGTGGTTCAGAGATATCACCATTTCCTGAGTCTGACTTAAGTCACAATCCCAAGTAACTTGTTGCAGGAACTGAGTTGCCAAAATACGGATCCCATACTACTTGTGAAGGAACTGAATGTAAGTTGCCAGGCATCTATCACAAATTATATGGTTTCCGTAAGAATTACGGCAACTCAACTTAATAAACTTCCTGAACAAGAATTTCCATATAAGTTATGGTAACTTGGCTGGGATTCCAGAAAAAGCCTAAACCCTAAACCCCTAAACCGCTAAACCGAAACCCCTAAACCAAGAAAACCCCTAAACCCTAGACCCATTAAAGCAAAGAAACAATGAATCCTAAACCCCTAAACCCAAAACACAAGCCCAGCTTCATCTACCAGCGACCCATCGGCCACACTAACCGTCCGCTTCAGCGGCAGCAGCTGCATGGGAGGGTTCTGGAAGATGAAATGGTTCTCCTGGGCCCGGTTTAGGGCGTTAATGATTCGAATAGGGTTCCTTTAAAGGGGTCCTTTAAGGGTGCTATAAGGGCTCTGAAACAAGCGTTGGGTGTAGGGTTTAGGGGTTTAGGGTTCTTTCTAGGAGGTTTCAGGGTTTAGGGTATAGGGTTAAGGGTCTAAACTTACCCAATGAGCCACACAAATGAAAGGTCAAACTTTCCGATTCCTACAAAACTATTATAAGAGCCCAAGAAGTTGCAAGGTTTGGGCACCTTAAGCCCTAAACCCCTAAACCCAGCAAACGTATCAAAAAAAAACACATCTCTAGCATCGGCCAAGTCTCGTAGAAGTAGGACAGCAGATCCAGCCCAGAGCCGCCCACAAGGGTCGGGAGATGGGCCACCTTGCTTCGCCAAACCCTACTTGGAGCTTCATGGGTAGTTATGAAGGTTCTTTAAGGGTCCCTTTAAAGGGATCGATAGGGGACTTTTCACCCCACTTATAAGAACCCATGAACCTCCAAGTAACCCTACGTGTGCAAAAACTTGACATTCAGTTACTCTCAGAAATAGCGACCCAAAGTTGCCACATCCTAAACCCTGGTGCCAGATGGCAGGGAAAGTTGGATCCTCAATACCTGCCCATGGGAATGGGCTCTTTCAACGCTATACCGGCCTAGAATTGGATATCTTATCCCAAATCCTCAAGCCGGAAAAAAACCTTCTGACAATCTCCTAAACCCTATACTAGCTCAGTATTGGAAATGTTGTCCCAAAGCCTCAAGCCCTATAAACATCTTATGACAATCCGCCATAAACCCTACCTAAACCGTGTACAAGCACCTTACTTGCCCAACAAGCCACAGAAATGAAAGGTTAAACTTTCCGATTCCTACTAAACTGTAGGAGCCCAAACGGTTTAAAGGTTGGGTACTGGGGGTCTAAGAAACCCTAAATCTTGTACGGGCACCGAGGGAGGCGAAGAACGCGTCATGGTTCGCATGGTCTCTGCCGTGCTCTTCTTGGCCGGATCGAACTCATAAGCCAGGTGCTCTTCCTGGGCTTATACATACTGGTCGGGCATCATGGGGACCTAAAGGTTAACATTTTTGGTTTTATACGGATTATATAGGGGCTATACTACCCAAAAAAGTTAAAGGTTACCTGCTCTACTACTAGGCATACCAGAGAGATCTAGAAGAGTCTAATATAGGGGCCTTATAATAATTACCTATACTATTTTGGGGGTTCCATATGATAAAAATTGTGCAATAAGCCAGGTGCTCTTCCTTACCCCTTAATATAGGGGCCTTAATAATTAAAATAAATAGGGTGTTGGGGCCCATTGTACTATAGCTACAATAAGGAACCCCACAAAATAGTACTGGTAATTAATTATTTAGGCCCCTAGATTAGGGTCCAGTGCCCTTTCTAAGGTGATCTTTACAGGGATTTCCTGCAGAATCCTTGTGAGTAAGTAGGGTTCTGTGGAGTTCACTGCATAGGGATCTAACGGTCCATGTACCCAAGCAGTATCTACTTCACCTTAAACTACTCTACGTTTAGATGGACCTTTTGGGGGTGCTTCCCAACACCGAAGCAAAAATCAGAAATCACAAGAGTTAAATTTCAATATACGAGCCACGAAACGTCTAAACTTTCAGTTTGTCACTAGCATAAGTGCTATAGCATTTAAAACTTCTTAGAATACCAAGGAAAGAAAATTTGGAAGTTGCAAACCCTAAACCAGGCTTCCCAAAGCGAGATGAGCTCGAGCCTCTCCTGTGCCTCAGAGTGCGGAGGGAAGCGAAGAAGCAGGGCAAAGCCCACCAGTGACAGTGATGGCACCAGCAAAGAGGGCGCGACCGAAAGCCATCCGAAGCTAGTCGATTCCGCCCGACGAGACGCCATCCTAAACAATAAACCCCGAACCCCAAGTCTCCACCCTCAAACTTACAAGCCGAAAACCCCAAAGCCTACGTCCTCAACCCCAAAGCTTGAAAGCCTAAAACCCCAAAGCCCAAAGCTCCGATTCAACGCCTAAAACCCCGAAACCAACCGCGAAGCCGTCCCCAAAAACTATCCGAACTGCGGGCCGGCAGCTTCAGAGGAGGAGTGTAGGGTTTTAGGGTTTGGGGGGTTTAGGGGTTTAGGGGTTCAGCGTTTAGGGCTTGGGGTTTAGGGTGACTTAGTAACTAGTAATTTAGTAATTGAAAGGATTTGTAACTATCATAACCCCAACGAGGAACCCCCCTAAAAGGGTACTTGTAAGTCTACATATAACCTGCTCGCTGGTTCCCCCGACTCTCCAAGCAAGCTGGTGAGTCTAGGGCTGGGCCCCTCGTAGGAGAGGGTCCAATACTCTACTCAAGGGTTGAAACCATGGGCCCCTAGCATGGGCCCTTAACCTTGTGATCCATCCATAGCTACTATATAGACTCTTAAGGGTCCCTAGAGCTCCCTCAAACAGGCCTTAGGGTCCATATTAGGGGCCCATACTTCTAACCTTAGATCTACGTAAGCAACACAAAAACTCTGCTTTTCTAAAAGTCTTAAGTGCCTATATGGAGGATACTTGCCCAAACCATGTTTATAGCTTCCTACTGTCGAAACCCCTTTTCTTACTATATAATTAGGTACTTTTAGGACCCTTTGGGTTTTAGTTTGGGGGAGAAGTGTGCGTGCTGAAGAGCCGCTCGGGAGACCGCAACTATGATGGGACTATGCAAGAACTATGTTGTTGCTCCTACGATAGATCTTCTTTCTAGACCCCCAAAAGTAGGTAAGATAATAGACCAAAACCTATAAAAGGCCATTATTCTACATGCTTGCGGGGTCCGGGGTCTTCTTTATCATCATCACCATCATCATCATCCACACAATCCTAGTTCATTGTTGGGATAGCATTTAAAATGTACAGTTTTATTCCCTATTGGGTTCAAGTACCCATAAGAATGTAAAATGTTACCCAACTCTGACAAAGAATCATCAGAGGGAGCCTTAGGGGGGGGGGGTGGGGGTAGAGTGCCTTCACACCCGGAAGCAGGAGCTGATAAGGGTCGAAGAAGGCCTACTTCAGGAATGGTCCCCTTACCCCCCCCCCTTCCTTCCTACCCACTAAGGTTCCTTCTGAAAAATCTTCATCGTCAGCAAAAACAGCATCATCTTCATTTGATATCGCTTCATGTCGTTAAATGTGCACTTCGGAGCTTTAACCCAAAATTTGGTTGACGATGCAGTGAGTTGCTGTGGTTGGGCTGCTCACTCTGACATTTTTCTGACACCCCAGCAACAGGAATCCGGATGCTTGGAATCGGCATTCGTGCTTCGTCCCGCTCCATTGCAACTTACGTATGGCCACATTGTGAATCTTGTTGTAGGGCCTAGGCCCATGATAAGTCGAACAGTACTTGTCAGGGTTGCTGCCTTTTGGGTAGAGTACGATGTCAAGTACAGCCTTGTGTGCCCTTACCAACCCAACCCCAAACCCTAAACCCCCTAAACCCAGGGTTCATGGTGCCAAATTCCTGAATCCTAATCCGAACCCCAACAGTGTCCGGACGTCCTCGGTGGCGACATTTCCTTCTTTTTGAGGACCGGATTTCTCAGTCTCTCGAGCCTAGGACAGTCTTTTTGGGTTTGGGGTTCAGGGCTTAGGGTTTAGGGGTTTAGCGTTTAGGGGTTTAGGGTTTATGCGTTTAGGATTCACGGATCTTAAAGAGTGTCTCCCTATAGGTCTGTATTAGAAATAAGTGCCCAAGTAGAACTCTTTCGGAGTTGGGGTTTTGGGATTCAGGGCTTTGCGCTTAGAGGGTTTAGGCTTAGGTTTTCGGTGCATAGAAATCAGAAGGCTTCGCGGCCGGAGCGAATGATTGTCTTATGGACTTACAAGTACCATGACTCCAATTACTTTTAGGGGTTTAGGCTGGTGTTCTATTCATAAGGTCCCGAACATGCAAGCATGAGGTACCCAATCCAAAATGATCATCCGTCCACCCTGAAACCCTAAACCCTCATGGGTTTCGGGTTGGGGTTTCTTACTTACCACATAAGCCACAGAAATGAAAGGTTAAGCTTTCCGACTCCTACTAAACTATGAGAGCCCAGAAACTTTGAAGGTTGGGTATTTTGTAATATCCTTAAGGGAGGGGGCTCCAATGGGAGTATATAGCCTAGTGATCCCTAATTCTCCCTAGTACTCCCTAAGGTTCCCTTACAGTCCCCTAAGGATTCCCTATACCCTCCTCCGTTGGGTATTGGGGATCTAAGGTCTACTTAAAGGGTCATGGGACTTAGTAACTAGGGTTATAATTAGGGTAACTATACTTATAATTACTTATAACCCCAATTACGGGACTTATAACCCTACTTACTAAGTCCCATGATCCTCCAAGTGGGATTTGCGGAGCGTGCACGCAAAACCAAGCCTACCCAACTGGAATCCGTAAAAGCCTCGGACCCTTCAAGCCCCTGTACTTATGCCTCTGTCGGAACCTCACAGAACCCTCACAGATACAGGGACCTGAATAATCAGAATAGGGTTTTGGAGTATGTTATACTATCATTACAAAAAGGAATCCCCAAAACCCTATTCTAATTATTGGATCCCCTACACTACACCCCTTATAGTACCCATGTAGAAGCCCTTATAGTAGAGTAGCTCTTATAGAACCCTTACAGAACACCTACTCATGGGGAACTTTGGTCGCTTCGGCTGAGAACCGTGCGCAGCTTTCTGGCGGTCTGCCTTTGTCGGCAGGTTGGCCACCTCCAGCTCTGAAACAAGCGTCGGGGCCTTGTAATATAGGGGCCTGATCAGTTAGAATAGGGTTCCTTTAAAGGGGTCCTTTAAAGGATGTTATTGAGGGAGCCACAGTAAGGTTCTGTGATACAGGGGCCTGGAACAAACGCTGGGCCTTGTACTGTACGGGTGTTACAGCGTTCTTTCTTCTAAAGGGCCGTAAGTAACTATATGGAAAATGTAGAGTTTCTTTATCGGAATTACTATTATGACTTGGGGAAGTATCCCCCGCAACAGTACCTGGGACCCTTTGGGTTTCAAAGGGGCCCCAAGCTTGACTAAGCGACGATGGAGCACACGGACTCGGTAGGTGGCCAATCTTATTTACAATGCCAGTAAGGGGCGACTGGATCACGAATGAGAATGAGTTATGGATGGCAGGGCCAAAACCGTCAAGGGTGGCTTAGTTTAGGGTTCAGGGTTTACGGTCAACAAAACCTACTGTTTCAGGTGCTATACCCTGTAATGAAGGGCTCCGAACCTCGTAATGTGTTGTAGGGCTGCAGCTTCTACAGCTGGAGGCGTACGTTCCTTAAGTAACGAACATTCCCGAAATTATGACAAGCCCCACTCTGAATACAACTTCAAGTTTCTTGCCGTGGCTGACGGGGTCTTGGGGCTCGGTGACTAGAAGGCTTACAGCGAGGGTTGCGGTCAGTGCTCAGAGTCGTTTGATGGGTTCAAGGTCCCAGGTTTGGTTTTATAGTGTCTTCTTGGAGGGTCGGGGGACTTAGTAAGTGGTTATTCTTCAGACTTATCCGTCCCATAAACACAATTAGGATCCCTGCATAAGTCTACTTATTATCTACTTACTAAGTCCCCCGACCCTCCAAGTTGGGGGTATGGAGTTTTGGGTTTAGTGGTAGGGCTCGCAGGTAGGTTTCTTAGGGTTTCGGCTTTGGGCCTTCGAGCATATACTGCTGATGGACAAAATCCTGCATTACCCATTACAAGGATACCTTTTAAGGGGTTCCTTTAAGGGATCTATAGGGTTTTAGGGTCTAGGGTTTAGGGATATAAATCCTGCATTAACCATTAAAAGGAATATACCATACTTCCCATAGTTTAGAGTCCTTAGGGTCATGCAGGATTTTGTCCATCAGCAGTAGCTCTAGCAAATCACTTCAAACGAAGCTACCATCTTGCTTACCCAGTAAGCCACAGGAATGAAAGGTTAAACTTTCCGACTCCTACAAAACTGTACGAGCCCAAAAAGCTTAAAGCTTAGGTATTGAGGATCTCAGGAAGTTTAGGCCTTAGGGCTAGATGGCTTGGTCTATATCAGATTTGAGGTGGTCCGGGCTGAATGGTCTAGGGCCAAAAAGTTTAAAGGTTGGGTATTCGGCATCTAAGGCCATGTTGTGAATGTTGTGGGGCTGGGGTTGAATGATTGGTTCTTCTAAACTTTCGGGCTCGAGGGTGAAGGGTGAAGGGGGTCAGGCGGAAACTTCCCTGTCTACATAAGCCCAAAGGCTAACCTCTGCGTCGAAAGGTACGGGAAAGGTGCGGTTCAAACAAAGGCTTTGTAACCTTATGCCGTCCGGATTTCGATTCCGTGGGTATTCGGAGTTGGTGCCTGCAGTTCGGATTGAATGCTGCAGTCACTTCCCGGGGTTAAGTATATATACTACTGGGTGGTTGTCATAATTATGATCCCTTTTTGGGCACCCTAAATCTTAGGTGCCGTACTATATTAGGGACCCAAAGCAGGACTGTGATTTTGACAACCGCCCTACTAAGTACATGGACTCTTACCAAGGGTAACAGCATTGCAAAACCAACAGCCTCACCCGTGGAGCTGGAGACCCTTCACCTCAAAGCCCCAGACTCTAGACCAAAACCTTAAACCCTAAAACCCCAAAACCTGAACCCTAAGCCCCAGACCTTGAGCCCTAAACCTCAAATCCCTAAACCTTATAAGCCATTAAACTAAACCCCAGACCCTACACCCCAAACCCCTAAACTGTAAACCCCCAAAGCCAAAAGCTCTGGACCAACACCTTAATCCCTAAATCCTAAACCCCAAACCAAAACCTTGAGCCCTAAACCTAAAACCCCGAAGCATAACCTCAAACCGTGACCCCTCAACCTCAAAACCGTAAACCATAAA